AGATTTGTAACTTTTCGCTGAAGTCATTTACCTTTATATAGATGTTTCTTTTCTTCATCTTTTTATTTCTTTCTAGTTCTATATCAGATTTTTCCAAGACTATGGTGTCTTTTCAGTCTGTGGTTTTTAATCTTCCCTTTGCTTCTACAAATTTTTCCAAATTGTATCTTTGAATATTATTTTCTTCTTTAGGAGTACCATTTATATAAATTTTACATCTCCTTTGTCTTACATGTCTATCACCAGGAAGCCAGTTCCTAACACTGTGAGGAAACTGGCCTCCTGTTCTTGGATTCCTTGTACTTTTGATGAAAGATTTCAGTCAAGACACATAGGTGATCATGTGGAAGTAGAGGTGGAGCTCACTATAAAGCTGGTATAGAGAGATTGGTGCCTTCAGGCAAGATGGTAGGCAGTGTCACAAAGACATCTGCACTGGGTATGAGTTGATAGCATTTTATAAGCACAAGAGTTAGTCCTGGGCTTCAAGGAACTCTGGTAATTATGTTCATCAACATCTGTCTTAGAACTTACTATGTAATATCAGTCTCTCAAAAATGTGTTCCTGTTTTCCAGATGATCAGTGTTCTCTCAGGAGCCTTAACCTTAAGAAACTTATGAAGGGAATTTAAATCGGGTCTCACAGGGCCAGCCAGGTAGCTCAGTGGCTTAAAGTGTCCACTTAGGCAGAGCAGGGATCAGGGTTTGGGATTGGATCCCCTGCGTGGTGTGCCAGCCCCGCCCCTGGGGCGTGCTCAGGTGATGATTGAGACTGGGCGTGCCTGAGAGTCTGAAAACAGGAGGATCACGATGAGTCCAGTCTGTGTAGTGAGATCCTGTAGACCCTGTACTAAATATGTTTAAAAAAAAAAAATCAGGTCTCAGCCCAAGGAAGGACAATCTTTAAAGGATGTTTAGCTTTCTGATATCATTAGGCATTGGATAGCTAAGAATGCTCTATACTTGTTTTGGAAATAGGAGTCAGATGGCCAGGTGTCAGAAGGAATGTGCACAAGGATAGCCTTAAAATACAGTTGTGCTCTGTGGGATCACTTAAGCCTCAGACCTAACAAATAATTATATTTAGTTGTAACTGGCAAACCGTGCTGTTTTGTTCCTCCACCCCTCTGCTTCAGGCCTGCTAATGTCTAACTGCCTGCCTAAGAATAGTTATCATTTTTTTTTCCAGTCCCTTTTAATTTTATCCATGTCCACTGATTACTTTATTACTTCCTCCGTGTCATTTATAGTATTTTAGCACTATTTTTCTCTATGTAAGCTTCAGTGTGTCCTTCATTTCTCTTTTGGTTTTATTTTTTCTTCTGTCTTTCCAAACTCTGCTAGTTAATTTTTAGCAACATTTCTTAACATATTTTTCCCAAGCTCCTCAAAAATTAAACTCTTCAAAAATTTTATTAATTTCTTTGAACTCATGCCCGGTTATTGGTTAGTACCAGTTTTGATTTTTTATTGTCAAGAGCATTGTTCTACTTTCTCTTTGTTTTCCTTGTATCTACATGTCATAGATACTTTGTTTCTTCCTTTTAAAAAGTGGAGGGTTTCTTGTATTTGCTATTTGCAGGAGGTAATGTGAGAGAGGAGTAAGGGCAGAATTTCTGGGCAGGTAGGATTGGCCTTGAATGTGATTGTTTTGCCCTTTAGTTTTTCACAGGAAATAGAATTTGGCAGCTTTAATGCTGCTTACAACTCTCTTTCTCCCTTCTGTCCTATCACTGTTAAACAACTTCCTACCAAAATATGTCAGTTTGTCTACTGGCTCATTCTCCCGGTAAAGAAAACTGTCAACCTGTGGTCTGTCATGTTCCAAATGAGGAATTGATTTTATCCTCAGGCGAGGTGTCTTGCTTGAGAACTGTCAGCTTGCATAGTTCCATAGAAAGCTTTTTCTGAGGTCATAGTTTTTCAGCATTTTCCATACTCCTGTTGGAAACTATCCTGACATGTTTAGCCTTTTTTTTAGTTTCAAAGAGGTAAAAGCTGTATTTCTGTTAATCATTTTCCTTGGATTTTATTGGGGTGAGAGAGTTCTGGGAAGCAATGAAAATCAAAAGTATCTTAATTCTGCATTTTAACCTCAAAAGTCAGAGAATATTTTAAATATTATGGTGTGGGTAAAAGTTTGAAAACAAGGATTAACAGAAAAAGAAAAGGTATATTTTATACACACAAACAATTCAATTGCCAACTTACTCATTGGGTGGTAGTATAGAAGTAAAGTAACAGGAAGTAATTAAAGCCTAATGTCATGAGTTCACTGCTTCCAGTTAGTGAATATCTGAGTTTATTTAAAGCACTACGAAGGGCCAGGGATGTAGCTCTGTGGCATAAGTGTCTGCCTGGCAATTGCAAGGTGCCGAGTTGGATCCCTGGTACCTAAATAAATAAATAAATAAATGTGCTATGGAAAAGGCGTTGAGGGCTGGTGAGATAGCTCAACAGACTAAAGCACCAGCTTAGGCAAGATTAGGCAAGCACAGGGACCACATGCCACACCAACCCCACCCCCAGGGTGGACTGAGCCTGGCCAGAGTCTGGGTGTAGTGACACACACCTGTAATCCCAGTGCTGGGGAGGCTGAAAGCAGGAGGATCATCACAGGCCAAGCTACATACTGAGACCCTGCAACATTGAACATCTTGAGATTTGGGGACAAGATTGGAATAGAGGGGTAAGTGGACAAAATCCCAGAGGAAAAAAAATGCCTATAATTAACAATTCTCAGCATTACTTAAACTACCTTTAAATGGGTATTGTTTGTATGCACAAGAGGGGTAGGGCAGTGATCCTGGGGTACATCAGCAGGTTGTTGAGACTAGCGGTTGGCTGGTGAGATTCTCACCCTTACTAACTCTATATGCTGGTGCCTGTGAGCCAGGCGGCTGCACTGAGGATGGCGATGTGTAATAAGGGTCATGCTTGGAGTGCCTGCCATCTTGGTCTTCTAAATATGTACTTCTTGTCATGACATACCATTTATTGCCATAATGTCTCTCAAGTAAAGTTGTT